ATGAAATTTCTAAATATTTTCGAATGTTTTAACTATTTTTGCATAGACTAAAGTACAAAGCAGTGAAAATCATTGATAGGCAATCATTGGATGGGCTGAATTGCACAAAACGCATGGTCGCACCGGCTAGTCTGGTGCGCGTCGCTATTCTTTTTCATCCCTTCCCCCTCTCCCCTTCTCAGCCTCTTCCTGGTGTGATATTTGAGCAACACTATGACTGATAATGTGCACTAGCCCAAATATCATAAGCAGAGGACAGCACGGAACAATGATAATTAAAGCATCGAAGTGTTGCTGTAACAGTTGCTAGCTGCTTAGCTGTAGAATTTGAGTATGAATTAGCAGCTGTCGAGTGCTACTGGTGTGCCAGCCACCATACGCATATGGCGTGCTGTCGGGGATATTGCTAACATATGGCCACTCGATCGCGTAATAACAGAAAATTTGTGTTTGGGGCACACCTCTGCTGACAGAATGAAGAGAATAGTGGAGCTGTAGTAAGCTGGGACCGAACATGTAGTTTAGAAAAGTTAGACTTCAGAAGCAGTTATTACGGGTTTTCCGGATTGAGGAGGTATGGAGAGTATGCATGTTGGGTGATTGTCCCATTATTTTGAGTATAGTATTTGTTAAATTTTTATTTCTTGCTCTCATTTTCTGGAACAAAGTGTGTTTCGATTGTTTTTCTGGAAAAACTGCCAAGATTGTCGGGCTGAAAGTTGTTGCGTACGATCTGGAATACTTTTGCACTGTGCTTCTTCCAGCATTCATGGCTCTTTTTACAGTACGCAGAAAATTTTTGCTGGGCGCAAGATACTTATTTTGTTCCGCCGAAAGTTTTTGTGGAGGAAGTTTCGCCAGAAGAGCGACGCGAACGTCGAATAAGCTACTACCAGTGGATGCCGTTTTTTCTGCTTTTCCAGGCCGCATGCTTCAAGGCGCCTACGCTTATATGGAAATACTTCGCCGGGCAGTCTGGTAATTTTTGTTGGTTCGTCGGGTTGGATTTTCTGCATGATTCGTTTTGATGCACTCTTTTCAGTTCTCCTTCAGTAGAGGCTGCTTCAGGTATGAAACTGGGCGAAATCCTGCGTCTGGCCAGTGATCCAGCAAATTCATCGCTGGAAGTAAAGAAAGCAAACATCGACGCTTTGTGTATACATCTCCAGGGTGCGTTAAGGTTTCATGAAAGACTCAAAAAGGTATATCACTAATTCGTATGACTGCTGCATGCTTTTGAGCAATTCAGATTAAGCAGGAAAGTATAATAAATCTTTGTTGAACAAAGATTTTACTCATTTTGGCTTGAGGTAGATTAAAACACGTATAGTTTTTACTTCTGGATAATCATTTCAAGTCTTTCGTAGCGAAATTTTCAGAAGAAACTGGTGCCGCATAAAATCTTCCGATTTCTTAACATTAAATATGCCAGCTACTATGTAGCAACAGTTTACATCATTGCAAAATTGGCGTTTTTGGCGAACGTTGTATTCCAGCTGGGCCTAATGACACGGTTTGCTCCATACGCAGTGTTTTGTTTTGTAGCGCTGAGATACAAATTAATAATTAAATGCGTTTTCAT